GTATCTGCATACACCTAGTATATCACTCACGCACGCACGCACGCACGCACGCACGCACGTGGCCACACACACACAAATAAAAATGAGATGAATAAAACATCATTTGAATAACCTGTTGAAATCCCAATTTTCGCTCAAAATGCAAACTGTGAGGGAATACTTTATTTAGATTTTTGTTAGCCAGCTTCATGACATTTTTTTCTTTAGAAACAATTATCTTACAAATCAATGCCCCCACCAGTTCCCTCTCCCTCCCATGCTTCCTCCCAATCCTCCTAACCCACTCCCCACCCAATTCCCAAGGAATGTGAGGCCTTCCATGGGGGATTATAAAGTCTGTGACATCTTTTGGGGGAGGGCCTAGGCCCTCCTTTGTGTACCTGGGCTGAAATAGTATCCCTCCATAAGGAATGGGCTCCCAATGTCCATTTTTGCACTAGTGATAAATACTGGCTCCACTGCTAGAGGTCACATAGACTGTCCAGGCCTCCTAACGGGCACCCACATTCAGAGGGTTTGGTTCAGTCCAATGCTGGTTCCTCAGCTTTACAACTGGTGGCCATGTGCTCTAGGTAGGTCAAGTGAACTGATTCTATAGGTTTCTCCAGCATGGTCTTGACTCCTTTGCTCATCCTTCCTCCCTCTCTATAATTAGATTCCAGGAGTATAGCTCAGTGCTTAGCTGTGGGTGCCTACTTCAGCTTCTATCAGCTACTGGAGGAAGACTCTAAGATGGAAATTAAGGTAGTCATTAAACTCATTATAGGGTAAGGGCAATCAAAGATGGCCTCTCCACTATTGCCTAGATTATTAGTTGGTGTTATCTTTGTGGATTTCTGAACATTTCCTTAGTGCCCGATTTCTCTTTAAACCTATACTGGCTCCCTCTACTAAGGTATCTCTTTTCTTGATCTCCTCTATTCTTCCTCTGTCTCAGTCTTTCTGATCCCTCTTGTTCTCCTCCCACCTCCTGTTTTCCCCTTCTCTTTTTCCTCCCTCCTTCCCCTCCCCTCCCCTGTCTCCATGCCCAAAACTTAATCAAAGACCTCAACATAAATCCAGCCACAGTAAACCCCTTAGAAGACAAAGTGGGAGATCTCATCATGAACATAGCTCCACCAGCATAGGGACTGAGATCAACAATTAATAAATGGAACCTCCTGAAACTGAGAAGCTTCTGTAAGGCAAAGGAGCCAGTCAGCAAGACAAAATGGCAGCCCATAAACTGGGAACAGATATTCACCAACCCCATATCTGACAGAGGGCTGATCTCCAAAATATACAAAGAACTCAAGAAGCTAGTCTCCAAAACACCAAACAATCCAATTTAAAAAATGGGGTACAGAACTAAATAGACAATTCTCAATAGAGGAATCTAAAATGGCTGAAAAAGACACATAGGAAAGTGTTCAACATCCTTAGCCATCAGGGAAATGCAAATCAAAACAACTCTGAGATACCATCTTACACCTGTCAGAATGGCTAAAATCAAAAACACCAATCACACTTTATGTTGGAGAGGATGTGGAGAAAAAGGAACATGGAACACTCCTCCACTGCTGGTGGGATTGCCAACTTGTGCAGCCACTTTGGAAATCAGTATGGCGACTACTCAAGAAAATGGGAATCAGTCTACCACAAGATCCAGCAATTCCACTCTTAGGCATATACCCAAAAGAAGCACATTCATACAACAAGGACATCTGTTCAATGATGTTCATAGCAGCACTATTTGTGATAGCCAGAAACTGGAAGCAATCTAGATGTCCCTCAACAGAAGAATGGATAGAGAAAATGTGGTACATTTACACAGTGGAGTACTACTCAGCAGAAAAAAACAATGGAATCTTGAAATTTGCAGGAAAATGGATGGAACTAGAAGAAACTATTCTGAACGAGGTAACCCAATCACAAAAAGACGAACATGACATGTACTCACTCATATGTGGATTTTAGACATAGTGTAAGGGATTACCAGCCTACAATCCACAATGCTAGAGAAACTAGTAAACAAGGAGGAACCTAAAGGAGACAAACTTTGTCCCCTGGAGAAGGGAAAAGGGTCACCATCCCCTGAGCAAATTGAGAACATGGGGAGAGGGGGGAGGGAGCTACAAGAATGAGAAGGGAAGAAAAGTAAGGATGCAGAGGTCATGAGGTAGCAGAAAGGTTGACTAAGGTGTAGATTAGAAGAAAGAATATATGATAGGTAGGGATTTAGTTCGGGGTTGGTAGGGGAGGAAGGGAGGGAAAAGAGAACTGATATTGTCATGTAATTCAATCTTCTTTGTAATTCAAATAAAAAATATAGAAGACAAAAAAAATAGAGAATTCTCAATAGAGGAATCTAAAATGGCTGAAAGACACTTAAGAAAGTACTCAACATCCTTGGCCATCAGGAAAATGCAAGGATGTCAAAAAAAAAATGACAGTCTATGCTGGAGAGGATGAGGAGAAATGTAACACTCTTCCATTGCTGGTGGGAGTGCAAATTTGTGCAGCCACTTTGGAAATCAGTATGGCAGGTTCTCAGGAAAATGGGTATCAGTCTACCTATTAGTCTAGTAATTCCAGTCTTGGGCAATTATCCAAAAGATGCACATTCATACAACAATAACATATGTTCATCTCTGTTCATAGCAGCATTGTTTGTAATAACCAGAACCTGGAAGCACCCTAGCTGCCCCTCCCCTGCAGAATTGAAGAAGAAAATGTGGTACATTTACACAATAGAGTATTACTCAGCAGAAAAAACAAAACAAAACAAAACAAAACAAACAAAAAAACCAACGAAACCTTGAAATTTGCAGAACTAGAAGAAACAATCCTGAGTGAGGAATCCCAGTCACAAAATGACAAACATGGTATGTAGTCATTCATCTATGGATATTAGATGTAGAACAAAGGATTACGAGCCTACAATCCATACCACCTGTGAAAATAGGAAACAAGGAGGACCTTAAGAAAAATGCATGGTCCCCCATAGAAGGGGAAAGAGACAAGAGCTTCATGACATTTTAACACCTGAGATAATCAACTTTTAAAGAAAAGAGGGGTGTTTGACTCCAGGCCTTATAGATTTCAGCTTGTGGCTGATTGCCCAGTTCCTTAATCCTTTCAAGGCAGACTGGAACAGCAGAATGTTTCAGATCCTAACTCTGTCCCTTTTTGAGTACTAGAGGCATTTCCTTGTTGGGGTTATGAACCCCTACTCCCAGCCCCTTTCATTTGCTGTCTATGAGAAAGCTGTAGTTCTTGAAGCTTTCAACCCTGCCTGCTGTAAAAACAAGTTTGGACAAAGACTGGAATACAGGGACTTTTGTGATATCCAAAGGAAACAGTCAGAGTGGAAAACTCCTTGGAACTAGGAAATAACAGTAACATTGGGAAAAACAACAAAGCTCTGCAGTGTTTCCTGCAAATTTGGTATACTTGGGTAATGTAAATGCTTAAATGGTTTCAAAAAAGAAAGAAATTGTATGCATCCAATTTGACTCACATTAACCTGTCATATCATGTTTGGGGAACTTCCCCCTACAAAATAGACGAGAATGAAGTGGTTTGTCTATTATTATAGAGTTATTATAATAGAATTATTTCTCCCTGAAATGTTCCTTTCAGTGAAATACATTTTTGAAGGTTGGCTGAAGGACCAGCATAATTTTTCTTAAATATATCCTTTACTGTTACAGATGTTATGGCCATATTGCCAACAAACTTATTTTAAAAGTAAATCAAACTTCTAGATGTATGTAGTTCCTTAATATTCTGTGAGATACATTTTCAACCTCCCCTGGTGAAATCTTCCATGAATGATTATCTCACTGATTAACTGTGGAGCAATGATTTATTCTACCTTGAACTTCTAGCCTAAATATAATCATCTCATTACTGGCAACAAATCACCTGAAGAGCAGTTACAGCTAGAAGATTTCCTCACAATCTGGAATCAGGCACTGAATACAACGTTCCATCCTAACTCCTTTTATCATGCTACAATGAATCTGAACATTAATTTACTTCCCATCTGCCTGCATTTCTTGTTCTGTCTTATGCTCTTTCTTTCACAGGAATATAAACCCTCTAATCCAAACCTCTTTCTTCTTTCTGTTTATAGAGTTGGCCTAAGTATGTTCAAGGAGACTACAGGAAAGGACCATGATTTCATTAGTATAAAATAATTCTCCTATAATTACTCAGTTGCTTCTGCCATGTTCATTTTTCTTTAGCAAAGCCTTGTTTATCTTTCATCTTTTTAAACATTTTTCTCTAGAGGTAGAGCATAATATGAAAATTTGTGGGGAAAAAACTTGCAGAATTTACTGAAAGAATCATTTTAAATATATTCATATAACCTTGGTCTATTGAGTTATTAATAAATCTACTATTAGCTTACAGCCCTTTAGATAATGAAAAGTGTCAATAACTTACTCAGGAAGTAAAGATGTCTATTGAATTACTGCCTTTTAAACTTCAAGTTGGGCGATTACCAATTTGACGAAGAAGTTGCCCTCTATCCTAATTTACCTCTTGGGTTTAGTTCACAGTCCAGTCCTGTATCAGGGGTTGACTGCCACAAAGTGCAGTGCTTATATGTGTCAATTTATAGGCCATCTGCTTTAGTGACTTGAATTACAAACTATCAATTCTTGGACATGTAAATTTGGATAATAACTGATAAAATAAACTTTTGTCTTCAAATTGGAAATCTTGAATGTGAGATTACCTTTCAAAGTATCTGTTTCCTGAAGCATTGGCTGGGGTTGATAATATATACATGGTCATAGATAAAGGCTTAGAGTGAAGTTTAAGGGAGATAAAGAAACAGTACTACAAGTTATAAAACTTTTATGATGCTGCTGTAAAATTTACTCAAACCTGAGCAATTTATAAGATTTTATACTAAACTTTTAGTAAAATAATAACATTATTTTGGAACCTTCTTTTATTTTTACTTTTATTTTATTACTTTTATTATATTTTATTTTATGTATGTACAATCATTAACTATGTTTCTCCATTTTTAATTAGGCTTTTCAGTGTTTGTTTTCATATTTTGCATATTTTCAAAAAATGTTACTGGAATCATTTGGCACATTTTTATGGTAAACAATGCGGTAATTCTCAAGAATTAAAAAAAGGGGGATTGTGAGATGGCTCAGCTGGTAAAGGCATTTACCATCAAGCCTGATGTTCTGAGTTCAATCCCCAGAGTCCATAAGATAAAACGAGAAAACCAACTCTTGAAAGTTTTCCTCTGACATGTATATCTCTTTCCTCACTGTCTTGAGGCTGGGTGAGCCATGTGTAAGGAGATCTGATATCTTCTGAGTTCTCTCTCTCTCTCTTTGGAGTCTAGCACTTGACTCCGGGTTTGACTTGTCTTTTCTCTGCACGCACACAATTATGCTGTTTCTTCTTGTGATGAGAACATCAGTTGTGTAGGGTTGGAAGCAGCATTAAATATCCATCATTAATAGGTTGTGGTTGGACATTTGTCATTACAGTACCCAAAATGCTGAGGCAGGAGAATTGTCACAAGATTGAAGATGACCAGTGCTACAGAGGATGATCCAGGTAAGCACAGATTATGGTATGAGATCTTGTCCTAAATATGTAAAAATTTAACAAGAAAATACTTCACATTAGTTATGCTTTTAAAGGCCATGTTTTCACATCTGTCTATAACCTGAGATACCAGATACTAAAGATTTGCCATGTGCCATATGATGTCTAGTGACACAATTTAGCCTGTAGAAGTGCTTATGTATCACAGTTATAGAACAAAAATAAGCCATGTACTTATTTTTAGACAACATTTTAGCTTTGATACAATTTCCATGTTTTAAAATGAATAAGATTATTTATCAGATTTACTCATCAATTTCTCAGTTGAAGACATGACTGCTCCTAATTTGAAAAATACAGAATGAAGATATTACTTATTATCTTTAGAATTCAAAATGAATACCATTGTTTATTCATAATAGAAATATGGAATACCAATGCACAATAAATAGAGTTCTTTTGCACTGATGATTTAAATTCCTAAAAAAGCCGAGGGTCGGTGAGTTAAAGTTATGTGTTGGTTTCAATCGCATCTCATTGTGAAAATGCTTGGTGATCTAAGAAAGGACCCTTGGTATCATTTTAAAATGTAAGTTAAGCATTTTGGGGAAAGTCAACTCGAAAGCAAAACCATACACAGAGTGCATGCTGAAGACTTTGCATCCATTAGCCTGGGGATTATTAGTCTCATCTGGAGTGGACAAGCCATAAGCTGTTTTGTGACCTTTCCCCAAAATGACAAGATCAAACACTCTCAGCTATAACCAGTTCCTCAAATTTCAATGACAATAGCCATTTTAGCAATTTGGAAAAAGCAGACATCAGAGAAATTGTTGTTACTATTCAGCCCCAACCAAAATACATCTTAAGCACAAAATTAAAGTATTAATTTATTCCTTATTTTAATTATAGACACTTTAAAGTTGCATATAAAATGTGACGTTAATTTATAATTCATGTTTCAAAACTGAAATATGACAGAGATGTAGTAGTTGCTACATCCAATCTAATTAATACTATTCTTCTAAAAACAGGAATCAAGAAAAGAATCAGGTTCTTATATTTTTGGTTGTGAGCCTAGCCTTTAATGGCTGAGCCATCTCTCCAGCCCTAGAATCAGGTTCTTATATTAAGTGGTCTGAAGTTAACAGAAAGAATTAGCATTATAAACAGAAAAACAAGCTAGAAAAGTAATTTATTTAAGATCCAAACATGATTTTTGAAAACCAAGTATTATTAAACAGAAAAGAAAATTGAGAAAGGCACAAGAAAGAATTCAAAGGACTAGAAAAAGGATAATAGATTCATTATTATTTTATTCATAATTATACATGTGTGTATGTATTATATACATATATACATATATATATATGAATAATTATAACCAAAGAAGTAAAAGACTTGAATGTTTTAACACAGAAAATATGGAAGAAAATGGCAGAAGATGGAAAGACCTCCCATGTTCATGGACTGCAAGGACTAATAATGAAAAATGGAAATCTTTCCAAAAGAAATCTGCAATTTCAATGCAATCCTCATCAAAATTTCAATACAAAATTCACAAAAAACTGAAATAAAGTCTTAAATTTCATAAGGAAATACAAAAAACTTGGGATAACTCAAGCCAAAACAACAAAAACATTGCTGGAATAATACCACTCTAGACTTTAAGTTATATAACAAAGTTTTTGTAATGAAAACAACATATTAGTAACATAAAAACTGACTAATTAATCACAGGAATAGAACTGAGGACTCACATATAAGTCCATAAATCCACACTTTTATAGCCAAGTGATCCTTTTTTTTTTTCTTCAAAGAAGCCTATAATAAACACAGAAAAGAAAGCATTGTCCACAAATGATGCTGATCAAACCTGATATTCACATGTAGAATTAAACTGGACAGTCACATCTCACCTTGGTAAAAACTGAACTCCTAATGGTTCAAGGATTACAACATAAGACCTAATACCCTGACTCTGAAAAAGGAGAAAGTAGGGAATCATCTTGAACTCATTGGTCCAGAAAGAACTTCTTGCAGAGAACCATAATAGCACAGGCTTTAAGAACAAAATTAATATATGAGACCTCATAAAACAAGTTTCTCTATAGCCTAGGATAGCATCATTTCAGTGAAGATTTAGTCTATAAAATGGGAAAAAAATGTGTACCAGCTATACATCTGACAGACTGCAGAGAATAAGTACATAGAGTTCTAAGCCTTACAGAAAATATACATGTTGCATCCCACTCCTACACCAAGGCTCAGGGATCACTGTGGAAGTTGGAGGTGAAAAAATTATAGATCCTGAGGCAGTAGATGGATACCTAGCATGACAGCCACACATATGAATTCACAGTAATTGTGACAGCATCTAAAAACACTGTTCAAGTCCCAGGCAGATCAAATCCTGGAAAGGAGTGCAGAGTTGGACACACAATCTCATCCTAAGCTGTGAAGTTAGTGGCAATTATTAGCAGTGGAGACAAGAATAGACAGTTTCCTTTAAGAATGTAGCTCTTGGTAAGTCCATCAATCTCCAGTTGAATACCACACATCCAGTAATATTTGCACAACACAAATTGGTCTTGGAGAATTTTTAAAAATGGATAAAGATGGGTGGGTAAGGAAAAGCCAGGAGGATATTAGAAGAGTTTTTGGGTGAGAATGAACATGACTGAAACATACTGAATGAAACATTAAAAAAACTAATAAAATGTATAAAAAGAGACTCTAGACTAAAGAGGGAGAGGTCTCTGAACAGACTACAAGCTGTTAAATAAAACAAACAAAAGAACCCTTTTCCAACCATTCTAGCTATGGTTTATAATTCCACAAATTTAGAAAGTTTTAAAGAGGGAAAAAAACCTCAACAGTAAAGACAGAGCAAAGTACCTGCAAGGAAGTGAAAACACATATGACAGATGATGTCAGGTTGGTTCCTAATAATGATGATCTTAAGAGAGACATTGGAAGCAAACTATCTTAGTTCTTATATTATTTCCTTTGACAGAGGAAGGCCAAATTCATGGGGAACCAAAGATAACTTCATCACATTGTCTGAAAAAAATACTAAAGGATACAAACAGGTAAAACAAAACATCACCACCACTGAAACCATAAGTATATGAATAATAAATAAATAATAAAAAAACAAAACCAAGTGTAGTCACATATAATCTTCCTACTTAGAAGGCTAAGGCAGGATACTAGTCAATCAGAGTTTAGCCTTTGTAACATAAGGGATCAGGTACCCAGAAATTAACAAACAAATAAAAGGATAAATGAAAGGAAGTAAAGAAGTAGGCATGGGAAACTGGGAGATATATGGGGGAAATGGGAAAAATATGGGGGTTGCTTGAATTGCAGAGAAGGGAGGTCACTGCAGAAGGAGGATAGAGGAGGGACAAATAACACCATGGTTGTTTGATTTAAACCTCAAGAAAAATTTTATTGTGTATTTGCACAAGTTATATACTCTGTCTATCTATCTATCTATCTATCTATCTATCTATCTATCTATCTATCTATCTATAGATAGATAGATAGATAATAAGTATGAATGAAGCTATGTTACTCAGGATTAAAATAATCCCAATGAGAGACAGAGACTATAACAGAAAATCCAATGCCAGACAGGAAAAACGTCTTTTGGGGTTTTTGGTCACGAGAGTTCAAGTCACCCCCAAAGCAATATAGACTATTGCTGTTGCCCTTGGTTTGTCTTTCAAAGACTGAGTGGAAGTCCCTGTTGCTGAAGTCACTGGAAACTGAAGGACACAGGACTGAGAAGATTTGAGATAGATCTAACCTGAAAGCTTCCTTCCTGTACGGTCTACCTTCCATAGTACCAGAAAGTACTATGCAAATAGTCAAAGGAGGGCAACATTAATCGCTCTACCTAGTTGTGACATCCAACAATGACCAGCATGGCAAGATAGCCAACACCTTCCTCTGACTTCTGAAGAAACCAGGTACACCAGGGACGCCCCAAGGCACCATTGTCACCTATATTCAGGGAGTCTTGTTTAGTCTTATATAGTTTCCCGAGTAGTAAGATTGGAGTCAGTGATCTCTCACTACCTTGGATCAGCTGATTCACAAACAGACTTTGTGGATCCCATAGTATATGGAGAGATACCTTGCTGGGCCTAGGCAGGAGCCGGGGTGGGGCATGTTGAGATGCCTTAGTCCTGCCTCAAGGAGACTTAGTAGACTTCCTAGGAGAGGCCTTACACCCTCTGAAGAGTAGATAGGAGGTGGGGTAGAGGTGAAGTAGGGGGAGTGGCAGGAGAGAAGGAAGGGGGAAATGTGATTGGAATGTAAAAAATAAATTAGTAAAAAAGGTAAAAAGCAGAAGAAGAGAGAGAGAGACAAACCAGGGAAGCACACGGTATACAGACAAACATGCAGATAAAATACCTAAATACATGAATAACAAATAACAAAATTTTAAGAAAAATGCATGAGTCATATCTTACCAAATATATGAATTTCAAAATAGTTTATGGAAAAAAATTGTACACAACTGTGATGCACAGTTAACGCTGTGCCTTTAAGATTTTCATGTGTGAGAAACACAGGGAACATGAAACATGATTCACAGAAGAGCTCTTTTTTCCATTTTTTAAAATTTCCTTTTACATTCCAACCACAGTTCTCCCTCCCACCCCGCCTCAACTCCTCCCTCCGCCTCTGTAACCCAGACTCAGAAACACAAACAAGGCATGTATCCACTCATAAGTCATGTTACATGTAAAGCAAAGGATAACAAACTAAAATCCTCAGCTCCAGAGGAGCTAGGAAACAAGGAGGACCATTAGAGGGACTTGTGGATCACCCTGGGAAGAGAAAGTAGATGATATCTACTGGGAAAATTGGGGGTGGTGGAGTGGTAAGGGGGAGGGGAGGGGGAATGAGAACAGGAGGGAAGGTAGGGAGGGAGACAGTGGAAGAGCAATGAAAGAGATATCTTAATTGAGCTTGGGCTTATGGAGAAACAGGGAAGAGGTTTCTCTATGGAGCTTTATAGACCAGGTTGGCCTCAAACTCACAGAGATCTGCCTGCCTCTGTCTCCCAAATGTTGGGATTAAAGGCATGTGCCACCACTGCCTGGACAGGTAAAAGTTCTTAACCAGCCATATTTTATTTTTCATGAATGATCACAATTAAGGGAGATCAATTTCTCCCTGCAGGAGACTGCTACAGACAGATTTTCACATCAATTTTGAGCCAATATTAAAGGGAGGGAGGCTGTGTGTGTGTGTGTGTGTGTGTGTGTGTGTGTGTGAGAGAGAGAGAGAGAGAGAGAGAGAGAGAGAGAGAGAGAGAGAGAGGCAGAGAGGCAGAGAGGCAGAGGCAGAGACAGAGGCAGAGAGACAGAGAGACAGACAGAGAGAGACAGACAGACAGAGAAAAACAGAGAGAGAGAGGGGGGCGCATCTATGAACCTGTTTGGGCCTGCACATTTGTTTCTGAGGAGGCCTAACGTTTACATCAATTGTCTTACTCAATTGATCTCCAATTTATCATTATTTTCTTGAGACAGTGTTCTTTGTTAAACTGGAGCTCATTAATAAAGCTAGGTTGGATAGCTATTGAGCTCTAGTAACTAGCTTTTATTTGCCTGCTCAGGTTTGAGACTGCAGATATGCAACCCCTTTCCCTTCTTTTTATGCTGGTTTTGGGTATCCTAAGGCAGGACCTCATTCTTGCACTGCAAACAAGCATCTGAACCATCTTTTTTCAGCACTCTAGAGAAATGATCTTACACTCCTAAAATTATCATACTTTAAGGGGTCTTTAAAGGTGAAACACTGAAAATATACACTAAAAGAGGGAAGTATGGTTCATTTAAAAAGGAAGAAATTCTGCATTCACTTACATGTCAGAAGGAATTCACATCATAAATTTGTAAAGGAGTCCTGATGTTTGTCAAAAGAGTGAATCACCGCTTCTGTTATGTTTTGTTCCATGATGATTTAAGTGAACATGAGGTTCTCTTAATTATGGGATGTTAAGGCCTCATCAAAATAAATACTCTTAATTGACTCAAGAAGCTTCCATCCTGCATAGAAGAGTAAGTGCAGGATAAATGGAAAATTCTTTCAGAGATTTGTTCCTAAGCCATGCACAGGCTCAAGTAAATTAAGTACTACAATTTGTTCAAAGGACAGATATTAATGACAGAACAGAAATAATCTCAAACCACCCAAACCAACCAATGTCCAACTACAGATGACTGAACAAATTCCAGCCCATTAAGAAAACAATCTGCACTTCTTTCACAAGGCATACCTTTATGAACCTGTATAACCAGCAGGAAAAACAATATTGAGACAAAAAGTCACAGAGAAACTGCATTTCCAATTTATATTTTAAATTCACTATATTCACATATTTAAATGTGTCTATAAATATGTATAAATCTATGCGTTTTAATGGCAATTACCTCTGGTGGATGAAAGCCAAGAGCAGAGTAGAGGTGCCCTAGGCAGTGGCTGTCACCAAGAACAACTAAGGCAACAAAAGAAAATTGCTTTCTATGAGACTTATTGAGGGAGAATTTTAGAAATCAACAAGGAAGTGGCAGGAGCCCTGAGTTGTGTGAAGAATCAAAAAGACATCTAGAGAAAAGAAAAAAAGGAGAGCTCAGCTTCCATCCAGCTCCCTGTGGGGAAACCCATACTGTAAGGGAAAAAATTAAAACAGAGTCCCAATCATAGACAGCTCAACTCTAGGGCTCTTCTGCAGTCCTCACCAGTCTTCAATCCGTTTTGGCATCCGGCTGGTCCTGACAGTGAGTGAGCCTCCTAGCTCCTAGAACCCGAGCTGCTACAGCAACTACTCTGCCAGCTGCCACCTGCCTAGAAGGCCCTTTGACATTCTCTTAAAGCTAAGGGCTGGCCTGTGCCTCTGTGGGCTGATGACAGCCTTCTTTATCAGTACCAGTGGCCACATAGACATTAAGCCTAAGTTCTACTTTCAGGTGTCCCATGGGAGCTGGGAAAGGTCTCCTGCCAAGCTAAGCTCTTTGGTAAAATAGCATCGCTCTGACTATCTTTGCCTGTTCACTGGAATCTGGAAAAGACTCCAGCTATAGTTGGGGGCTCAAGACATATGGGCTTCAGTGGCTCCAATCTTCAATACCCCCTGAACTAATTCAACTAGAAGTAATGAACATTTTCTTCCCAGCTCGTAGCTGCCAGTCTTATAAATGCTGATACAAAATTCTATGCATCACCCTAGCTTATTTCTAGGGATTAGAAATTCTCATCCATGACCAGCAGCTCTATAAACCAGGCTGCCAATGACATAAGCTTTGTCTCAACCAGAGTTTGCCTTGAAAGACTCAAGGCCATTCCCATCCATATTCTGGACCTCCAAGATCACACATACGACTATCAACCCAAAACCCACCCACAGGATCCGTAGAAGGCTTCCTCCATGCAATGGTTGTGGAAAAATCATACAGCTATTACAAAAAACAGCATGAAAGTTCATATACACATGATTTTATGAAATGGAAATATTAACTAACATACATTAAAGATTATAATTCACACTTTATATAACAAGTTCCCACCCCATTAAACATTCTTGTGAAAGCTACTTAAATGTCTGTACTACATTATTTGTTGCAGGAGTGTGACAACACTTTGTCAAGCAATTCATTATCAGAGATTTTTATAGCAAGTGTCTCATATGTTTCTTAGAATAAACCCTTGATGGGATTTGTTCTTGCTTTTATTTTTTTGATAAAGTTTATGCTTTTAAGCCTTTGTTTAGATCTTTCACAAATACTACCCAGAAAGATTTCACCATGAGCAGCTGGTATATAGGCTACTTTCTCTCACCCTGGGTAACAGTTGATGTGAAAGTAATAAACGTTTCCACTGTTTAAGTGATGCCAATGGTAAGGGTTCAACATGGTATCCTCATGACCTGCACATGAAACCAACTGGTGCTCTTGGAAATACTTGACAAAATGCCTAGCCTTTACTTTAAAAAGAGAGTATACTTTTGACCTTTATTATGTACTTAGAAATAGATCATGTGGAAGGAACTACTGTATCCCAGCCATGCTGTAGGTATAACCCAGATAACAGTCTTTGCTTCTATCCTTTGAGATTTAAATTAAATTAATTCCAACCCCTGTCTCCTTCAAGAAGAACAATGTTCCCTCTAAGGGGTGTGAATCTCTAAGAATATACACCTTCATGGTCACCTTGCTAGTTATTGTTGGATTTGAACTGTGCCCTTCTTTCTCCACATACCTGCAGAATTGTCCTCTCATTTCTTCCCTACTGATGAACCCTTGACCACTCTCTTAACACCACTTGTGACATGCATGATGGGTGTGCCGAGGAGAGGAGACTTCACACCCCAATTCAGCACAGTGAGTGACATTTATAAATAACTAATAGCAAGGGAGATTACATGCACCAGCTTCATTTTTAAGAGTCACCTTGCTAACACTTCACATAGTTCCCATTGCCCTCACTGTATTTAAGGCCAGCAATCGGCAGCCTACGTCTCAGTCCTCAATTCACTTCTTTCTAATTGTGCACCCGTTTCTTCTCTGCTTCTCCTCACTCCCTTCATTCATGCCAAATGTATTTTCTTGAGTAGATTTTTGTTTCTATCTTAAGACCTCCTTCCACAACCCAGGGGAGTCCCTTTTCATAATAAACGTGCCCCTTGGGGATGTGCCTAGATATTGAAAATGTTCTCCCATAGGGTAACACTAACATTTACTTAAAATAATAAATTCCACATTCTTATTGTGCTGAAGACACAATAGTAGGAAAGATTATTCTAATGAGGGAAACTGGTCCTGATTTTCCAGGAAAACCACTCCATACCTGGCCTGTCCTCCCTGGCCTTATTCTGCATTTGGGTGTTCTTTTTCGCCTCTTGTCACCTGTGGATTATGGTTACCATATATGATGCTGAGATGGTTATGCCTAAGAGGAAAAGGTGGTCTATTCTTCACTCAGGAACCACGGGTAAATTTAGCAGCCTGCTGTCGCTGTCATAACTGCTAACCCTGTGGACTGATACTTGGTTGTCCTATCTGCAGGGTGCCCATCAGTACTGATGAGTCTGTTTTTTCTTTGCACTAAATACTAAGCCCAAACTTGTTGTGTTTCTTGGACTTGCATCCTGGGTGTCTCCTAATCAGTGTTAGGGATGATTATATATGCTTTAGGCCACTTTCTTCAGTGACAAAAAAAAATTCAACTCAAATTACCTTAAAGAGAATTCAGATTTTATTGGATTATATTGTCAGGAAACCCAACAGTGGACATGACCACCCCACCTTGTCTGTCTGTCTCCCTTTTCTCTTGTGTTCCCTTCCACCTACTCCCTCCCTGCTCTTCCCTTTCATCTTGTTTCTCTCTTTCTCCTTCTCCCACTCTTTCTTTTTTCTCTCCGCATCCTCCTCTCTCCTTCCCATCCCTCATCCTTTCATAGAGGGAATAATGTATGTTGAAGTGTTGCCTATAAATGGCCTCTATAGAGATGAAGATATTATTATATCATAAAGGACTTACTCTAATTCTGGTTATGCCTAAGAATAGTTTAAACATATTTAGACGTAATTCTTTTTAAGTTTATTATTATTATTATTCATCCAAATCGCAGTTTCCATTTACACTTCTCCTCACAGCTTCCTCAACCTCCCCTCTGCCCCTCCACCATGCACTCATACTCTGTTTCTTTCCAGAAGAGGGAAATCTTCCTATGGATACCAAACAAATATGGTGTATCCAAGTTGCAGTAAGTCTAGACACCTGCCCTTGTATTAAGGCTGGACAAGGTAACTCAATATGAGGAACAGGGTCCCAAAAGCTGGCAAAGGAGTCAGAGACAATCTCTGCTCCTACTGTTTGGAGTACTACTAGATTTTTAAGCTACACAACTGTCAGTCCCATTCAGGCTCACTGGTTGTCTGTTCAGTCTTTGGGCCCCTGTGAATCCAGGTTAGTTGACTCTATATGGTTTCTTGAGATGTCCTTGACTCCTCTGGGTCCTAATATTCCCACCCATCTTCTGATTCTACAAGCTCCTCCTAATGTTTGGCTGTAGGTCTTTGCCTCTGTTTCATTCAGTTGCTGGATGGAGACTCTCTGGTCGGATAGGCACCTTTAGGAATCATTTCATTGACTGTTTCCCCCAGTCATAAATGAGTCTATCCTAGGTCTTAGGGCTACCTGTGGTTCTTGCCTTTCAGGAAATGTCAGGATCGGCTCTTTCTTATGGCATGAGTCTCAAGCTGGATCAGTCATTGGTTGGTCACTCTCACAATTTCTATGCCACCTTTATCCCACCATGTAGAGATATATTATTTATGATTTATTAAAGCTTGGTTGAGGATTCAGAAACAAAGTCAGCCACAAACTATAGAAGCCAGGCACACTCCTTTATTTCCAGCAGTCAACAGCTAATAAGTGGTGGTGGTACACAACTTTAATTCTATGACTCAGAATTAAGAGGTAGAGGGATCTCTGTAAATCCAAGGCCACCCAGATCTACATAAGTTTGATCCAGTCCTAAAGAGAAACAGCTCACCCAAAGATGATGTCAGCATCTGGGATCACATACCTTTAATCCCAGCATTAGGAAGTTATTTAAGACAGGGGGAAGGTGTCAGTATCAGGCATTCATTCTCCAGCCACACTGAGAATAGAAGGGATTCATTCTCCAGCCACATTGAGGATTGGAAGACATTTGGTCTCAGGATTCTCTAACCATGCTGAGAAGAGGCAGCAGGATCAGTGTATTCAGCCTGAGGTAGTGGTAAGAGGTAGTGACCCACTACTTCAGCTTGAAGATTGAACCCCAATATCATTCTCTGGGTCCTTTACTTTTTGTGTTACACCAGAACATCTTGTAGGCAGGAAATTGTAGGTAGAAGGATTTATTGCTGGGTGGGTGTCCCAATTCTTGCACTGGAAGACTTTCCTGATTACAGGAGATGGCCAGTTAAGGCTACTTATCCCCCATTGTTAGGAGTTTTATCTAGGGTCACCCTTGTACATTCTTGGAAGTTTCTATTATGCTGGTTTTCTGGCTTGTCCCCAAGATACTGCCCAAATCCAGTTCTTTCTTCCTCCATCCTTCCCCTTCTGAT